TGAGTGAATCAATCAGAACATTAAATGTAAAATAAAATTAAACTATGGTGTTACTCTGAATTTAGAAGAAAAATGAAAGCTAAAGATAGAGATAATCATAAAGAACATCATTTTAAATATTAATAAAACTTAGTAGATCAATAAATATAGTGTGACTTCTTTTTTTATGTTCATTATTCAACTTGATTAAGAATTTCTATGAATTAAATGTATTTAAGTATATCTTAGTAATTTGTTTTATAAACCTCATATATTTTGGTCTCATATTTTACCTGCTCAACTAAGTGTTTATCGTCCTTGTCTAATGTCTTCTCGCAAAAAATGCCATAAGACTATGAGTTTCAATATACACATACTCTAACTATTATCTATTAATTATTCATAAATGAGAAATCAATTTTAATCCTAATTTTTACTTATCTAAAGTAATTTTAAAAATGAAAAAATAACTAATTTAATTATTAATTTTAAAAATGTATACAAGATTATTCGATTTTAAATATCAAACATTAATTCAATAAGCATTCAAATTATCTCATTTAAAAATAATCTAGTAAATATAATTAAAAATTACATATAATTAAATAATACATGTTGGAAAGACATGGGAAAAAAAAAATCCTTGTCTTTGTGAAGTACTAGCATAAAAATTGTTTAAAACTCTTGAAAATCATTTGAAATAAACTGAGAAATATTGTAGATCGGATAAATTGAATTTTACAAATTTATATTTTGTATTTCGTATATGGAAAAAAAAATAATTTATAACGCCGAACTCAATCTTTATATATGGTATATGTAAATCTCATAAATTTTAAATAATTATCTTTTATGAAAAATATAGATACGGCGTAGAAAAAATTTATCTGTATTTTATTGTTTTTCATATGTATATATATCCCACCACAGTTATAAGATTCAAATTTAAATATCTCTGTGAAAGTAATTAAACACATAAAAATATAAAGATATCCTCAAACAAATTTGTGTGTTAATTGAGATTAAATTTTTAGCATGATTTTAAAGGTACTCCTTTATTGTTAATAAATTCTTCTCAGTACTAACCTAAGAATTTAAAACTAGATAGTACAAGAAAAAATAACACCAGAATATTGATTTACATAGACAGAATATTTGTCAATGTAAAAGCTGTATTTTTATTAGTACAATTTACTAAGGAAAAAGTGTTGTTTGCTAATGTCTCGTCAAGGATGTCTTATCCATAGTTGGTCATTTACAGTGTATAACAAATGGATTCACTGACAATCATGTTTTGTAAATGGGTGACACGATAAAAAGATTGATATCTTCTTTCAAGTGTAGAAGTATCAAAGTAATAAATAACCCGATAAAACCGGGGTCGAACCACATAGAGGTTAATTATACAAATTATAAATAACAATAATACAACAGCAATAACAATAGCAACAACAACAACAATAATAGTAATAACAGCAATAATAATAATAATAATAAAGAAAAAGAAGAAGAAGAAGATGAGAACTTTGAGATGAAATATTAACGTAAAG